TATTATGCTCCAAATATCTGGAACAAACTCCCAGAAACCTGCAGGTCCGCTGCAACTCTTACTACTTTTAAATCCAGGCTGAAGACTTTTCTTTTTGCCGCTGCTTTTAATTGAACTATTCACATCTTAAACTGCACTGTAACTTTTTATTCATGTACTTTTTATTCATGTACTTTTTATTCATGTACTTTTTATTCATGTCTTTTTTCTTTTAATGTTTGTTTTATTATCTTTTCTTTTTAATGACTGTTTTTGAATGCCTTTGTCTGAATGTCTTTCATTTTTGTAAAGCACCTTGAATTGCCTTGTGTTGAAAGGTGCTATATAAATAAACTTGCCTTGCCTTGCCTTACAGCACGGTCACATGAATTCACGTCACCACCGCTAAGCTTAAGGTGGCTAATGTTGGGCTTGATGAGTCATTCATTCTGTCAGTGTGATGGTTATAGCTTACATTCCCTAGTTAGCCAGATAGCTAATATTTGCAATCAACCAACTAGTGAGCGTGAGCTATCTAAAAAGCTGGCTAACAAACGTCAGCTATATATCTATCTCTCCCATGGAGCTATCAATCTGTCTAGTTAGCGAACATTAGCTGTCTAGCTAGCTATTAGCACATTGGTGGGTCTCTCAATTGGAATTAGAATAAATATTTAACAGCCTATGGTTGGACTTGCAGTGCGGACTTGTGTCAGACAGTGAGAGTAATTATAGTAATTATAGTAATTATAAATATAGTTAAAGCCGAGTTGCTCTCATACAGCCAGCAAACATTGACATCAATTCCCCAAAATGCGTTATTTGGAAAATGAATCACATATTGATAATCTAAATGGTGAGTTTCTTGCCTGGATATGTGTTAGTTCTTAATAACAGTTCATTAAAAAGCTTATAAGCTGTTTCTTTGGCAAGTAAAGGTTTATAAAGCTGCTGGCGCAATGCAAAGTAATAGCATTTCTGCTTTTACCGGCAGTACCAACACATAATAAGGCAATGTGGAAGTGCCTGAGAGCTGGCAAAGCAGAAGGTGAATAGAGCTACAGGTCATTCAATTGTCATGGATGTGCAGTGCAACAGGGAGCTGATGTAAATAGTGTGAAATGGGAAAGTATATCTTATCAGCGTGTGTTCACCTCTTTAGCTTGTCCTCCGCTGACAGCTGTGATGGAGAGGATCCCTGGAGAGAAGCTGTCCTTCTGCTGGAGGACCAGAATCACCGTGACACCATCTGTACCGGGATCATCGTAGGAGGAGATAAACATTTTGATTGGTGTTTTGCCGGGGTCATTGGGGTAGGAGTCAGATCGCTGACGGTATGTGAAAAGGAGACATTACATTATAGAGCATACCTACAGACAGAGGCCACCAACATTAGGTGAAAACAATGTGGTATTTTATCAAAACTTGGGCAAGAATTGTGTCTCTGGACCAAGTGTTTGGGACAGACAGATGGAGAAATGCTCTAACTGACACCTTTTTCTTATCCTCAATTTAATACATTTGAATAATAATACATTTTATTTATATAGCACACTTTAAAACAACGTCATCTCAAAGCTTAAGAGCATAAAAGGTTAGAAAAACATGTAATCACAGTCTTCACACTCAGCATTTCTTCGTCTGTTTTTAGTAGAAGTACCTCACGAGGACCCACAAGAGGAACAGGGGGTTCTGGGTAATCTGGCATTAACTTGGAACAAGGCTGCATGAAAGCTGGTGCCTGCAGGCGATGAAGATGAGAGGACGAGGAGAGCGAGGGAGAGGAAAGTGGAGTGTGTCGGATGTGAACTGCATGATGTTCTGAGCTCTGTTTGTCGTGCTAAATTATGGCCTGACAAAAGAAAACTGTCTGTTCTTTTTCCAATATTCTTCCCATGGTTCCCTGCTGTGTGACGGATGCTCTGTGTGGGAATATCACCTCCTCCTGCTGATGAATGCTAATCATGTTGTGGCTTTAACTATGGAATATAATACCGTGGGTAATGGAGCAACTGTGTGCATTTATTCATGAGGATATTTAAACAATTGGAAATGCGTACGGGCTCTGGAGAATTTAAAACGGGCAGAAATTGTATTATTTTGTTAGAAAATGCATTTCAAGGGACCCAAGGCCACTTCACATGGTGGAAGGACAGACAAAAAAACAAACCAACAAACAAATAGGGCAAATAATGAAGTCAAAATAAATAAATAGCCGTAGCAGTGGAAGCAGGGGTTAGGGGTCAAAGGCCACGGTGAACAGGTGAGTTTTTAATGATGATTGGAGGAAGTCCAGGGAGGCAGCATTGCTCTTAAATCCTGTATTTATGAGCTCTGGAAATAAGAAATGTTTTCTGTGTTTTAGAGGTGCCTTTCAAAGCACCGAGGACCCCTAACAATTTAGAAAATATACTTAAAAACGACACAAAAGGACAGGAACAGGGAACATGTAGCACTACAGGCTGATCTGAACAGGTGTCTTGCCTTCATTTATATATAGAAATGTATTTATAAGGATAAACATTTGTCTGTACATATGTTAAAAGTCCACATATATACTTATTATTACAATAAGCAGTTTAAGATATGTCTTCTTCTTCTTTAATTCCAACTTACTGTATTTTCTAAACCTCTTTTTGTTGTATTTGTATGTATTGCTTGAGTAAAGGATGTGGGTACTTCGTCCGCTTCTTCCCGGTTTGAACAAACTCTCTGAAGATGATATTATTGTTGATCTTAGTGAATTGTGAATCTGTGTTTAATATAAAAATTGTATAGAAGAAATTACGATAGAAATATACAAAGAAATAAAAACAATATATTTGAATTAAAATCAAAACGTCTGTGCTGATCAAGATAAAGGTATTACCAATAAACATCTTTATTATTCAGGTTTTCCTTTCATGAGTGCAGTCATTATTGTCGAGTTCATACAAGGTGTCGGGGAGTGTTATAACTATAGGATGTTTACAACAAAACATGTAAAGGAACCGTCTCTGAAGCATGCTCCATTACTGTAATTGATTGTATCACCGTGTGTGTGTGTTCACTTCCTGTAAATCAACTGAAGCACGTGCACTGACTGTAAATCCACAAGAGGGGGCAGTGAGCGGGAAGACATTATAACAGAGAGACCCTTCATTACATTACAACATGTCTAAAACATGGGGGGACATTAGAGGGGGAAATGTGTGTTTCATGCAGTGGCTAATTATAGGTTTTTGGTCTTCACTCAAAAATCCAAATATAGGAGTTTATTCTATTAATTTGTAGTCTATTTGTGTCTGTAGATTTCTCCTAAATCCCCAAATGTTAGCATTAGATAAAGCCTCATTTGTATGTGCAAACACAAGATTTCAGAACATGCTGCAGCTTCAGAAACAACGCAGATATAAAAACACAAATGTTCCAAAAACACATGAAGAAACATCTTCATCAACTTGACAACACATGCAGCGTTTAGAGAACATTCAGCAACTTGAGGAGACATGCGCAGCGTTTACTGAAAGCTGTAGAAACCAGACGCTGCAAGAAGCTCAAACACAACAGAGACCAGGGGACACTAAAGAGTGACGCACACAGCTGGGAGACCAGGGGACACTAAAGAGTGACGCACACAGCTGGGAGACCAGGGGACACTAAAGAGTGACGCACACAGCTGGGAGACCAGGGGACACTAAAGAGTGACGCACACAGCTGGGAGACCAGGGGACACTAAAGAGTGACGCACACAGCTGGGAGACCAGGGGACACTAAAGAGTGACGCACACAGCTGGGAGACCAGGGGACACTAAAGAGTGACGCACACAGCTGGAGAGACCAGGGGACACTAAAGAGTGACGCACACAGCTGGGAGACCAGGGGACACTAAAGAGTGACGCACACAGCTGGGAGACAGGGGACACTAAAGAGTGACGCACACAGCTGGGAGACCAGGGGACACTAAAGAGTGACGCACACAGCTGGGAGACCAGGGGACACTAAAGAGTGACGCACACAGCTGGGAGACCAGGGGGACACTAAAGAGCGACGCACACAGCTGGGAGACCAGGGGACACTAAAGAGCGACGCACACAGCTGGGAGACCAGGGGACACTAAAGAGCGACGCACACAGCTGGGAGACCAGGGGACACTAAAGGGGACACTAAAGAGCGACGCACACAGCTGGGAGACCAGGGGACACTAAAGAGTGACGCACACAGCTGGGAGACCAGGGGACACTAAAGAGTGATCCACACAGCTGGGAGACCAGGGGACACTAAAGAGTGACGCACACAGCTGGGAGACCAGGGGACACTAAAGAGTGACGCACACAGCTGGGAGACCAGGGGACACTAAGAGTGACGCACACAGCTGGAGACCAGGGGACACTAAAGAGTGACGCACACAGCTGGGAGACCAGGGGACACTAAAGAGTGGAAGTGTTTTGGGTCGATGTAACTCATTGGCACCGTACATTTCTATTTAATAAAGCAAAGCCTAATTTGGATATGTACACATCAAATCCCAGGGAACCTCTGACAAAACAAATGATATTTCTCAACTAGGGAGGTTTCATTGTGATATCTATTAGTTAATTTGTTTACACTATTCTCTTGCCCATTTAATCAGATGAGAGGTATTTTAAAGCATGATAATCCTGCGGAATGGAAAAAATGATATACCTGGGCTCATCCATATTCATAATTACTGTGAAGAGGCTGCCTATTGGCTCTCGGCAGAAAAGAGAGAGAAGGAGAGAGTGTGTGTGTGTTAGAGAGAGAGAGGGGGATAAGTGTGTGTGAACAGTGAGCGGAACACAGACTTGTGCTGCAATGCGCGTAAAAGGCGCGTTTTCGCTTTTACGCACCGCCACAGGTGTTAGATAGCGACAGATCCACTATTCTGAACCCTGGATATATTATTTCAAACCCAGTGAAGGGTACGTGAACCTCGCACGCTTTTCTGAAACTTTGAACTTCTTTGCGCAATTAATTAGATTGTTTTTCTCCACCGGTTTTTAGACTTTCCAACCAGCGCAATGGATCCTCTTTTCAACATCACCGACAGCCCCACTATCCCCACCAACTCCACCAACGGGACCGAGTACTGGAACCAGTTCGTGCAGCCCGCGTGGAGGATCGCGCTGTGGGCCATCGCGTACAGCTCCATCGTGATCGTGTCCGTGGTGGGCAACGTTACGGTGATCTGGATTATTATGGCTCACAAACGCATGAGGACTGTGACCAATTATTTCCTCCTCAACCTGGCGTTCGCGGAAGCCTCCATGTCCGCTTTTAACACCGTCATCAACTTCACCTACGCCGTGCACAACGAGTGGTACTTCGGCCTGATTTACTGCCGCTTCCACAACTTCTTCCCCGTGGCCGCGGTGTTCGCGAGCATCTACTCCATGACGGCCATCGCGCTGGACAGGTGGGTGTCAGTGTGTAGAGTTAAAGGTCACCTATTATGCAAAATCCACTTCTTCATGTCTCTTCTACATCAACATGTGTCCCCTCTTCTTCATGTCTCTTCTACATCAACATGTGTCCCCTCTTCTTCATGTCTCTTCTACATCAACATGTGTCCCCTCTTCTTCATGTCTCTTCTACATCAACATGTGTCCCCTCTTCTTCATGTCTCTTCTACATCAACATGTGTCCCCTCTTCTTCATGTCTTTTCTACATCAACATGTGTCCCCTCTTCTTCATGTCTCTTCTACATCAACATGTGTCCCCTCTGTGGAAAGAGACTCTGAACGTTTCAGGAAAAAATATGTTCTCCCTTTTTGTCCTGATCCATTTATATAAAAACCTGTCTGAAAATGAGCTGATCAGATTTTGCCTTGTGTAACCATTAGCCAATCAGCAACCAAGGTAACCCCCCCCCCTTATCACCTGAATCTCCTCCTAGAGCACCATTGTGTTCTTTGTAACCAAATCTCTCTCAGAGGGGCGTGGGGAGGGGCTCCTTATTTTTATCTAAAGTAACAGACAGAGAATCAGCTCTTTTGAAACAGGGCTGAAACAGAGGGGATTATGGGATGCTGCAATGATCTGTTTGGTGTTTCAGCCAATCAGAGACAGGTGCTGTATATATCTGAGACCTATAATATATTGATGAAAAACAGTATAATAAGGGACGTTTAAAGCAGGATATAAATAAAGTATTTATAGAGCCCATTATCAGACAACACATTTGTCTCAGAGGGCTTCACAAATCAACAAACATGAATGATAATGTAAAAACTACAAACATATCTGAGAATATAGTAAAAGGACAAGATAAATGTGAAAATACCAATGAATGGGTACAAAACACAATGACACAAATACAGTTAGAATACAATAATGGATGGCACCAGACGTGTCCTCACTCCTCAACTGGTATTATCATAAATAAATACAACAGAAAGTAACCAAACGGCACCAGATAGCGAATCTTACGCAGGGAAATGATCCATTATCCAGACAAGAATAACGTTTGTGCATTTATTTCCTCTCCAGTTCCAGCAATCCAAAAGCACAATGAACCATGGTTTAATTGTTATTACCCTGCTGCCTCTCCCGAGTTAAAAACATTTGTATTTCATCTTATCACTTTGGTTTTCATTCGCCACCCCTGTAAGCATTAAACATAATCATGCTCTCAATTGAGAACATGATGAAGCATCTCAAACACAAAAGTCACATTACGGCTTATTTTCCACCTGTAGCACAATAAAGATGGACCAAAGTCCTCTTATTTCAGCAGTTTCTTTCACAATTTGGATCTTAAAAAACACCCTAAAGGGAATTAAACTGCCTCTGATGCGCCTGATAGTGAGTCTTACGCAGGGGAAGCCCCAAAAAGCCACAGAAAAAGCAGCAAAGCATTATAGGTTAAACCAGGGGGGTCAAACTCAATTTAATTGCGGGCCACATCAGCATTATGGCTGCACTCAAAGGGCCGGTTGTAACTTTAAGACTATATAAAAATACATATATAAATATAAATTATGTATTATATGACATTATTGGCTCTGCATTGGATCATTATCGGATAGGGTAATAACTTCATAATTAACTACGTCTGAAAGCAGAAGTCTGGGGCAAATAATTGCAAGTCTCTTCAGTGAGAATGTCACAAAATGATTTAAAAGGAAAAGCCAAATTCTGGAAAACAAGTCACAATCAAGAACAGAAGTGGCATTTAAAAAAAAATACTATTTAAAAAAAATAGTCCAATTCTGAGAAAAAAGTCTAATTTGAGATGCATTGTGGGACATGTAGTTTATGGGCAACGTGCTTCTGTAAATCATCATGTAACCGTATAATAAACATAATATTCTTTGCAAGCTCTTGTGGGGCCACAGAAAATGAAGTCACGGGCCGGATTTGGCCCCCGGGCCTTGAGTTTGAGACCCCTGGGTTAAACCATTGTTCATTGTGCTTTTGGATTATTTGAACCCAGAGGAAATAAAATGCACAAATATATTATATTGACACGTTTTATTGAGTATTTTCTTGTTTCCACATTGGATCATTTCCCTGCTTAAGAGTCGGTATCTGGTGTCTCAGCTGCGGTTGTACCTTGAGTTAGTTTTCTGATTTATTCCTTTATGATTTAGCCGATACAAAAAACATCTAATGTCCTCAACTGGTATTGCAGTGCCTAAATCATAACTGAACTATTTTCAGAGATGATCTTGAGGTGTTTTCAGGGATTTTGAAGCGTTTTGAAGTGACATTCAAACTGTTGTGTTGGGCCGCATGATAATAAAGAGCCAAACATGAAAGAAAGGAAACATGGGTGCACTTTAAAATGATATATATTTTATTTGCAATAGTCCTCAACGCTAAAAAGCTTTGGAAGAAAGTCAAATGACAACCTGTTTTTCATTTTCAAATAGCTTATCAAATGACAAAAAGGGAGTTTCTTTCCTCTTTTTGTCCACTGTAACATTTAAGAAGTATACTCGATAATATGCATGTATTTCAATGTCAATGGAGAAAATTGTGAAAACCTAAAGATGAATTCTCTTGTTTGCAGTAAAAGCATCTTTAGTTAGTGTCATTATTTAGGTTAATATAAGTGTATGCTTTATTTTGAAGGCATTTTGGGCACGGGTTAATTATGAATATTTAAATTTTGTAGCTGCTAAATTATAAATAAATAAATCAGAAAACCCATATATTTCCTTCACCAACATGCAGCACATCACAGTTAATCTCCCCTGGAAACACCTCAAGATCATCCCTGAAAATGTGTATTTCTCTCCCATTATAACATAACACAATTGCATTAAAAGCACTAACAACAGGTACATCACGCACCACTGTATTGTTTTAAAGCATAATTCAAGGGGATTTTGTTCTGTCACAGAGAAAATGAGAGCACTTCATTATTGCTTTGCTATACCTTGTAGAAATGAATCAGAGCTTGTGTTCTCATCACACTGCATGTATTCCTCTTTGCGACACAGCCTGGGAAATACTCCTTTTTCTTGTCTGAACGCACTCCCTGGCAATCTTCTGCAGACATGCCCATCACATCCGGAAAATGGGTGTCAGAGAGAGAGAGAGAGAAGCGATAGAGAGAGAGAGACTAGCTCGAGCTAGCGAGCGATAGAGCTGAGAGAGAGAGAGAGATATCTAGAGACTTATACGATAGATAGAGAGAGATATATCGTCTATCATCTATCTCTATCTCTCGCTCACTCGCGCTATCTATACTCTCTCCTCTCTCTCTATCTCTCTCTCTCTCTCTCTCTCTCTCTCTCTCTCTCGCTCTATCTCTCTCTCTATCGCTCTCTCCTCTATCTCTCTCTCTCTCTCTCTCTCTACTCTCTCTCTCTCTCTCTCTCTCTCTTCTCTCTCTCTCTCTTCTCTTCTCTCTCTCTCATCGTTTCTCTCCCTGTTATATCCTGTTGGCAGGTGGTCATAAACTCTCCCTGGCCGCGGAGCGGAGAGTAAAGTGGAATGGAAAGTCTCTGTAAAATATGACTATATGAAAGTCATCACGGATTGAAAAGAGGCGCTCAGTGTTGGAGAATCAGAATTGTTTTTATTGTTTCTCAAATTGTCTTTTAGATGTAGCTAGATGGATGTATGTTAGGTTTTGAACGTGCATTTAACAGTCTTTACAATTTAGAAAGTTAGTAGTAGAGTTATTCGTTTGTGGACTGATTTTGAAGTCGTGAGTTTGGCTGTTGCCAGTACAATCCATTGTTAAAAGGCCTTTTAAAGAGTCCTCTCCTGCTGATGTTCAGGTGTATATCATATGTAGTGTCTCTACTTTAAAGAGTCCTCTCCTGCTGATGTTCAGGTGTATATCAGTATGTAGTGTCTCTACTTTAAAGAGTCCTCTCCTGCTGATGTTCAGGTGTATATCAGTATGTAGTGTCTCTACTTTAAAGAGTCCTCTCCTGCTGATGTTCAGGTGTATATCAGTATGTAGTGTCTCTACTTTAAAGAGTCCTCTCCTGCTGATGTTCAGGTGTATATCAGTATGTAGTGTCTCTACTTTAAAGAGTCCTCTCCTGCTGATGTTCAGGTGTATATCAGTATGTAGTGTCTCTACTTTAAAGAGTCCTCTCTTGCTGATGTGCAGGTGTATATCAGTATGTAGTGTCTCTACTGTAAAGAGTCCTCTCCTGCTGATGTTCAGGTGTATATCATATGTACTGTCTCTACTTTAAAGAGTCCTCTCCTGCTGATGTTCAGGTGTATATCAGTATGTAATGTCTCTACTTTAAAGAGTCCTCTCCTGCTGATGTTCAGGCCTAATGTTCATTTCATAAATGAACATTATGCTGTGTTGAGGATGACTTGAAACTACGGATGAGACCTTTAACTAATCAGGAACATGTTTTACTGAAGTCATAAATCAAAAGAAAAGAAGGGCAATTTTCTCATAGACTTCCATACAATCAGACTTCTTTTTGCAACCAGTGGAGTCGCCCCCTGCTGGCCATTACAGGTAAACAAGCCTTAAACCTTGAAACTAGAGATTCAGACCATGAACTCCTTAGGAAAATGTTTACTGAGGGATAGAATCAAGTATGAAGTAGCATAATTTTCTTATAGACTTCTATCCAATTGTATGTATTATAGGAACAAGGTTACAGCTTGACTAATACATACAGTTTTCAATCAGGAGAAACTTGTTTTGATGTCACAATATGATAAAAGATTATGAAGACGGTCTTCCTGGTTGAACTTGCACTGAGCTTCATATGGCAGTAGTTCAGTTTTGATAAAGAAAACTATTCATGGATTTTAGAAGATGTGGATATTGAATGTATTTTTGGTTCTGTGTAAAAAAGTGAACCCAGTTTAGGAAATGCATGTTAGTATTATTGAAATGAACTGTAATGTGGGGCTTTCTTTTCTTGTTCTTATTGTCTAATGTTGGAGAAGGCTCTGTGTACCTCAGTCTCGGTTAATGCCTC